CAGCGAGTTCGACGTCTGCATCGCTGTCTATGTCGATGGCGGTGACGGTGCTGCCATCGGGGAACTCGATGAAGTCGGTGTCGTACGGGTGGTCCAGGGAGACGACGATGTAGCCAGCTGCTGCGATGCTTTGGAGCATACTGCTATATATGAGACGTGAGGTTGCGAGGGCGCCGGAGAAGATCACGAGTGGGAGTTGATTGGTGTTGCAAGATTTGGACTTTGTGGCACTGGCGCACGTCTCGACTTCAAGGGCACTGAAGGACCCATTGGGAAGACCATAGGCGCCGAATTTATCGTTTTGAAAAGCCGCTGTTGCTGGGGGCATGTATTTCTCGGCCTTTTTGGTGCTACAGCTGGATACTGGGAGGTATGTGGATGCCATTATGGCGCGAGTGCGGTTGTCTTTGGCGAAGGGGTCAAGACGGGAGGAATCGTTCAGGGCGAAGGTGGTGATGGATACATCGTAGTGTTTAGGCCCAACAATAGGGAGTACAGTGCTAAGGCCGACTGAAGACAGTGCGAGCACTTGCAGTGCGGTGATGATAGGGTTGAGAGATGGCATGATGAAGAGCAAGAAGTGAAGTAGGAGATTTCTGGAGGAGTCTACCGATACTGTAGTGTAATGAAGATGAGATACGACAATGTTTCACTCACTCTTATATACGTCTTCCTTCAAATTCTGTTAACACTTGCAGAAGAAGACCGACGCGTATCCTGCGCTCTACCATGGCTCGTTACAGTCAAGCGACGATAATTTCTTTCAGGTCGATCGGTTGAGAGATGAGCTCTTCTAGTAATAAAGAACTGGTGTATCCACAGTCTCTACGCAGTGCGCCTGATCAGTTTTCGTTCGGGATTCAGCTGTGATGATTGAACTCCATACCGAGACGACGTACACTATACCGACTCGATACTAGCGCACTTTCTATCGCTTCCTGTTCAGGTTTAGCATCGTTCATGCCCTCAGCCTCACGATCGGGCCGATGTCCCCAAAGTGACAAAGCTCTCGATTTTCAAGGGTCAAGACTCATCCCGCAATGAATCATGAAGTGCGCAGTATTCTTTCCGGATAGGAACTCTTAAGGGTCACAGGCTCCCCATGTGTCGAAACGCTATCGCCAGGAAATTCGCTTACTGAGGGTTATTATTGATATTCGACGTGCATATGCCGGTATTAGTTGGCCCCTACGATGGGCGAAAAGCTCGGAGGAAGCGTTGTAATGCCTGTGTAAAGCGCCAAATCAAGGTAAGATCCTTCTATTGAGGCATGTCATTCTTAGCCTTGGAAAATGTGCTGACATGGAAAGTGTCATGGAGGTGTGCCTTGTGCATACTGCCAACGAACTAGTCAAGCATGTGTGATGAGATCCAGGTCCATACAGCCGGGTGTGGTCTTTGTTGGTCAATCATCGGATGAGGATAGCAGTACATCTGTTGTCTCAGCTGTTCGAAGGACTGCTTCCGCCCGGCTGCCTAAGCAGATCCCAGCTCAAAGGACAGCCTGCTACTTGCCATACTTCTTCACTCAATTCTTACCATCGAACACGTTCACTGCCGAGAAATTTGTAGTCAATGATGATCTGCTCGTCATGGTTCAAGAATCAGCTGGGCTGCGAGACGCGGTGGATGCCGTAGCTGCACTTCACGCAAAGAAACGAGGATATCTGACCTGCTCAGAGCAAATGGAAACAGTGAATGCAGAGGCATTGCAAACTTACATGCGTTCCGTACATTCGGTACAGGAGAAGATCTCCGCCGGCTCGTTTATGCACGACAGGTCAGCCCTTTGGACCACATTCTTGTTAGGCCTGTTTGAGGTATGTGAAGTGAGACCTCCCTATTTGCATTCGTAAATATTAATTGCCCTGCATTAGCTCATGCATGACGCCACTGGTACGAACTGGCTTGCTCACTTCCTACATGGGACGTCTACGCTGCTCCGAATCCAGAGGCCTCAGACCTTGACCTACTCAGATGCGCAGAGTATACAGCGACGAACGTTTTTCCTGGCGACACGAATATTCGAAATATCGCGTTCCCTCATCTTCTCTTCGCCCACCTTTCTCAGTTCACCAGAGTGGACAACGGCATTAGCCAATTTCTGGGCTAACGAGGGTGCTACATTGTGGCACCCAAAGGAAGCCTTATTTGACATATTGCCTCTTATTGCAGATCTCAGTATGCGTGGATTGGGATTTTGTAAAGGCGCAGCAGGGATTTCGTTTGAAGAAAGAAGTTTGCGCATTGAAGAGCTGGGCCTTGAAGGCTTTCAAATGCGAGCATCGTTACAAGAGTGGTGGTTCGTGGCATCAGCGTGGGAGAACGAGTTTGGAGATTGTTTTTCTCCCCACTCTAATCTCAAGAAGCCAGACAAAGAGCTACTGACGGGATACATCTATTACCATGCCATCAGCATCTATCTCTCTGGGACGTACGACTATCATCCGCATTGGACGCCGAGTAGTGCGCCAATTCTGTCGCAGAGCACAATTGAATGGCACGTAGCTGAGATACTTGCGACAAGTCATACTCTGCTAGACCTAGGTGTGGCAGGCATCTTGTTGTTCTTTCCTTTGAGAGTCGCAGGAGCTCGAGCGACAGACATGCAGTCGAAAACCACCATTCTGGATCTTTTGCAGGCTATTTCTGACCGGGGCTATGCCGTGGCAGAAGCCATCAGAACCGATCTCTTCGAGGTGTGGTCCTCTAAGAGCAATGATGAGGAAGAATAAGTTCGTGCAAGTAGAAGCGCAGTATCGCGGATTTTGAAGAATCTGCATGTCACTGATGTG